TCATGAGGCAATGATACAATTTCTTACAGACTTTAGGAGCAAATTAATTTATGTATGTATTTTCATAGTAATCAGCATACTTTAAAAACAGGGACTGTTTAACTGTGGTGCCAGCCCCAAATGAACCTCCTTCCACACTAAATTGCTGCTTTTTGTCTTTTGGTTGTTTGTGGAAGTATAACTTGGCACTCACATTTATTCCTGCTGTGTGATTCATTGCAAAGGAATCCTCCACTTTAGTTGAAACATATGACAGGGTAAATTGCTATGGACATGGCTGAGTGTTTATATACGGTACCTGCAAATGAACCCTTAGAGAAAAACCAAATATCAACTATTCAAAACTATTCAAAAAATCTGAGATTTCAAAATACTACAAATACTCAGTGCCACTTGCATTCTTTTCCTATTAATACCGTAATAAATAGAAGGAATCAGATAGCAACTTCTGTATTAAAAGCATGGCTTTTGTGAGCAGCCACTTATTTCATCAGATGCATAGAATACCATGGCTGCCATAGATCAACATGGCTGTTTTCTTGAAATTGAAATACTGTAATACAGTAATGGTATTCTATATGTTAATAACAGCAGAAGCATCAAAATAGGATTCACTAAATCCAGCAAGCTGATGCCTAAAGAACTCCCACTAGCAAATGACATAGTTGACTTTATCCCAACTGCTTTCCAGATGGACAACAAATCCCAGAACTCTCAGCCAGAATGGCTATTGGCATGTGGTATAAGCTATAATGGAAGAATGGGTAACTCACAGACCATGTGTTCCTCCAACCCAACCTCTTTTTAAAAAAATATCAGATAGGTTTCAAGTAGTTTTAAAATATGAAATGTTTCAAAAACAGCCATAATTAAATTTTAAAACCAACTCTAATAAATAAACCAAAATGCAATTTAAGATATTAATAAACAAACTGAAATTCAAAGATGCATAAAAAATAATTAGATTTTACAGTTTTAAGCTGTTGCCACTGCTTACATTGGGCAAACTTCCAAGGGTGGAGGGGAAGAACACCAGGAAACTGACTGGGAGGCAACAGTTTTTCCAGCTGGGAATGTAAAGAAGACCTACTCAGTATACAGGGACTATACTGGTCTACTCCAGTCTTGAACTGCTTGAATATAAATAAATAAATAAATATCAGTGTTAGAGCTTTTAAGAGATCTTATCATTCATGTTCAATAATTTCGTTTAAAAATGCCTGGCAAAGTTTTATAGAATTGTGCGATGTGATGCAGTTTGATGTAGGTTTTAGAAAAGGCTTGTCCACCTAGGCCAGGAGGAGATGGTTGATTAAACAATATTTTTTTAAAAACAACTTTTAGTTTAAGGTACCAATTCCAAGTGGATAAGTACCTATATTTTTCATCACACTAAATAGGCCATTTTGCAGGCTTTGATAAATTTCCCTCCTTCAATAACAACTGGCTAAAGGAAAGGAAAATGTTTCCATGCAAACAGCAAAGGTTTTCTCCTCTTGCCTTTTCTACTTTCTTTAGGCACAAATAATAATGAACACAGAATGGATGTTTTCAAAACTATTTGCATCCTTTTGCAAATGAAGACAATGATCTTATAACAGAGTACTAAAACTCTAATGCACTTATAATCAGGTTGGAAGGATGGATTCAGGACATAGTGTCATAGTCTAGCTTTGGGCGTGTCATTATTTCTCAAACTAATGCAATAGTATGTTTTGCTGTACACACTTGAGGAGAACACAGAAGAACCAAAAATTAGGGTTGGAGAAAGCAGCGGAAAAGGGTGCTTCAAAAAACAAGGCATCCTGCCTCAAACTCTTGAAGCAGCCATGTCCTTTGGAGGGTTCAACATGGCTACTTCAAGGTTGCTTGTTTGTCTGCACATATGCTTGTACAGGCATTTCACTGTCAGAGGCGTTGCCTGCGCATATGTATTTATAGACATCTCAGGACCATCTCTGAAATCACTATCCCAAGACTTCCAAAAAGATATGACTGCTTTAATGTTCCAAGAAAGGGTCTTTTACTCATATTATTATTATTTTTACAAAGTATCCATTTGATGTATTTGCACAACTCATATCAAAAATGGTTCCTTTCTGCCAGTAAACAAGGCATCAGTTATTTTAAGTGGTTTGCGTATTCTGTTTTAACCATTGGTTTTATTGCACACTGCTCGAGTCTCTTTGGGTGAGATGGATGGCCACATAAATTGGATTAAATGAATAAATAATATTTTTGGATATTATTATAATAATGCCCTCTGGAACGATTTGCCCCCGGAGATACGAAGGATACCAGATCTCTGGGCCTTTCGCCATGCCCTAAAAACTTTTCTTTTCCATCAAGCAGGGCTGGCGTGAAACTCCCCCTCCCCTTTTTAGCTCTTTTTAGCTCTTTAAGTGTAAATTGGGTTTTAATTGGATTGTTTTAAATTGTGGGCCAAAGCTGTATAATTCTTCTAATTGATTTTAAATTTTGTATTGGTATGTTTTTTATCCTTGGCTGTGCACCGCCCTGAGTCCAATAGGAGAAGGGTGGTATATAAATTGAATAAATAAATACATAAATAAATAAATAAATAAATAAATAAATAATAATAATAACAACAACAACAACAACAACAACAACAACAACAACAACAACATCAGGGCTGGTTTAAAACATTTTGTATTCTAAAAGAAACTCCACCATTGCTGACCGCCAGTAAAAAGACAACTAGTCTGGCAGTCAGCATTGGTGTGGAACAACGTCTTCTACAGCAGAAGACAGATGGACATATGAGCCACAGCATTCTTCTCTACCCTTTTGTCAATTTGTACCTAAGGTGAAATCCAAATTTAAACAAAACTACTCACTCTAATCTGCAAACCCATCACAGGGTATCCTTTTACTTATTTATTTGTCAGACTTTAAGGCTGTCCAACTCTTAAGGCAACTTTGGGTAGCTTCCAATTAAAAAAACCAACAAATAAAGAACACAACCGACTGCAGGAATAAAATATCCACCATAAACTACCAGAGCATAACAGGACAAAACATAATCACCTTGTCCCCAAAGCCTGAGAGAACAATTAGATTTTTAAAGATTTTCTAAACGATATAAGGTTACATGAAATTTGTACAATGAAAAGGTGCTCGTTACTAGGAATCATATTAGGTGAGATCTTAAATTTGAGGGGTACAACATAGAATAGAAGGGAGAAATTGAATTTGGTTAAGATTAGAGGTGAGGATGAAGGGTAATATTGATTTTTTTTAAAAAAATAGAAGAGAGTAAATATCATGGCAAAAAGGAAGTATAGAAATTGTAAATTTAGTTGAAATGATTAAAAACTGTTTAAATTTGTGAACTGGCCAAATACTCTGTTCAGAAAAAATATATTATATGTTTGTATGTGTGTTTGTGTAAAAAATAAAAAAAACTTTTTTTAAAAAAAAAAGAAAAGGTGCTCACATATTTATTAATATTAGTTAATCCAAATGTAAACTAATTTTCATTGAATTTATATTGCCGCCTATTCGCCCATGGCGACTCAAGGCAGCTTACAGAATATAAAACCACATTTAAAACAATAAAAACTAACAAAAAGAATCAAATAAATTAATATAGTAAAATATTACAAAATCACCCGCCATCTCCCACCCTCTGCCCTGGTGACAGCAGATCACACAAGCCATTTAATGGGCTCCATCCCACTCTGGGTTTCCCAGGCCCACTGGCAGAACCAGGTCTTCAGTGCCTTTTGGAAGAGTATTAGAGTGGGGCCATTCTAATCTCTGGCGGAATGATGTTCCAGAGAGAGGGAGCCACCATGGAGAAGGCCCTTCTTCTGGGTCCCACCAGGTATATCTCCCTCGGGGATGGGACCCGCAACATTCCCTGCCTCCCCACTCTGATAGGTCGGGTAGATGTGACCGGCAAGAGATGGTCTCTCAGATAACCTGGTTCCAATCCAATCTTTTGCATCCAGGAAAGAATAGCTTCTCTTATAAAATTAAAATATATATATACTGGAAATTGAAATATGCATATTTGATCATGTATACAGTACGTTAGCTTTTTAATTACTGAATGTGTAATTGATGGCATAACATGAAGATAATTTCTAATACATTGTATGTGTTTGTGTGTGCATCAGAGAGACTACAGACAAATAAATAAAGTAGACAAATAAATACAGATAAATAAAAAAAAATACAGAACAGACATTAAAATAAGAATACAATAACAAATAAAATGAATCACAGTTGGTCCAACACATAGTCAATTGATTACATATTTCTCGGTGGCTTGTATAGCAGTTATTATAAACAATACAAGTCTTAGGTTTGAAACCTAAAACAAATCCTCATTTTCACCTTTGCTTTCATGCTGTTGGACATTATGTTAGCAACTTCAAATTTTTGTAAGGAGAAGTATAATATATTTACATCTATTTAGAAAGAAAATATTTCCATCTTACTTCACGAAGCACATTGTGTGAAAGGAGATGAAATGAAAACAACATATACAAATATGGCTCAATGCAAGATAGCGGAAAGCACAATCAGTCACGCCTGCTTCTCTGCAAAGCAGCGTGAGGTCACTTTTTACCCGTCTCCTTAGATATCTTTAGTAAAGATGATTAGGTTGGATAGTTAATTATCTGCTCCATGGACAGGACTAAAATATTACTCTGCATTATTACTCTGTACTAATTAAATTGAATTTGCCCATGGGGAATGTTTGGCGTTTCAAAAATATGACTTGTATTATTCAGAATCAGTTCTGAAGCGCTTTTAAGAGGACTACTATATATCTACCATTCCTTAGCAGTACTAAAGAATATTTCTGTTTTACATTTTATACCTATGTCCACCTGTCTGCATCATATAAAAATATAACTTATTTTATAATAGGGAAAGTAAACAGCAGTCCAAAATTTCACCATCTCTGATATCTTTTTACATGTTTCGAAAATAAAAGAATGAACCAACAGAAGATAGGAAATATCTACCTGTAATAGATAGGAAAACACTTTGGATCGTCTCTTCATCACATTTCTCCTTTGTTAAAATCAGGTCCTGCTTCTTCATTTAAATAAACGCCAAATTCACAGCTGTGAATTATAAACCTTCTTAAAAAATACAATTCTGAATACATATACATCATATCAATTCTTATTATATTGTAACAGATTCAAAGTTAGTGATTTTCTGCCTTTTAAATCTTTTTTTTTCTCTCCCACTTTTCTTGTCTTAGTACATTTGTTGCTGGGACCAAAGCTGGTGTGCTTTTACATGTGAACAGAGAAAGTAATTTTAAGTTTCAGAAATGATTATATACATTTCATGCCAACTTTAACTATACATGAGAATGCGAGAAATAAAGTTTGGGGAGCAAAATCTAATCTACTTATCTTCCCTGTCCTGTTCTTATTTTTGGGTTTGGCTATAAAACCTTATTTCGGAAGCAAAAACTATAATTCTTGATTGATCTTTACACTTCCCTATAAGGGGGTTGGAGGTTTTCACTTATGAAAAGTTAGAGTACATACAGCCCATGGTCTCTACCTTTCTCTCTTTGCTGAGCATTTCCTAAAAATGGTGCACAGGCTGCCCATAACCTGGGATTGCATTCTTACTATCACTGATGGGACATTGTAGACAGTGGTTATTCAATATTTTCCTGATCAAATGTGTTAGCTTTAGTTGCGTTAATGTATGATAACATAAAGGCTCATATGAGATTGAAAGTACGCCTGTATCAACTGTGCTGCCAACCTCCGGCTACACATGCTTGTGCTTGTCTTTGTCTTCCCATGTTGGGAACAGATGTGATTGTGCATCTGTATGGCACTCATTGCTGAGCATGGCAGGAATGACATTTCAAACTTGCAAATTTGTTTCAAAGTTAATTCTCTCATATCATATTGTAAATGTGGAATATTTAACATGCTACTGAAAGTATAAGCTCTAGTCTTTGCGAGAGTTATGACTATTTTGGAGTTTTATTAGTTCATTTGCTAATTGCAGTGTATCATTAAGGATCTAATGCACATGCTGCCTTGAAATTACTTAGATCCTAACAATATATTTGGATTCCTTCATGCTAGTGGGACAATGTCTTGCAACATCCCACTTTCACAATCACTAGGGGCTGAAGACTGTCTTAAATAAAAATAGCGAACCTGTCTGTTAGCTTTCATGTAAAAATCAACAAAAACCCTACAAAAAGAAAGTAAAAGATGGTAGACAGAGCATGGATAAGGGTCTTGGATAAAACATAATTTTTCAGATGCTGTTGAAATTCATAGACAGTGGCAAGAAAAAAAAAAGAATAAAGGCAAGGTGGCAAGATACAGATAAAGTAGAACCTCTGGTCATGACCATAATTCATTCCATAACTTTGGTTGCAACCCGATTTGGTTGTGACCCGAACCTAATTTCCGATTATTGTTGGAAAGATATTTCCTAGCAGCGGGAGCGAAAGTCTTGTGCAGCCAATGGCATGGAAGGAGAAATCGGCTGTGTTTGGTCACAACCCGAGTATGTGTTTGTGACCAGATTCAAAAATTTTGTGGATTTTTTGGTCGGAACCCGATTTGGTCGTGGTCAGAAGCATACGTGACCAGAGATTCTACTGTACCAAATAAAATAAACTATACAGCAAGAGAACTAAGGAAGAAGCCAAAGAATAAAAAGACTTAAAAGTAAATATAATTATGTCCTTGCCCATCAAGGAAACAAAACAGACTTGCAAAGCCTTCCAAAAGGCTACCTGGCACCATGTAATTGACATGTTTTCTTCACAATATCCTGGCTTTGCTTTCTGGCAAACCACCTTAATGGGGAGGGAAAAAGAACTGCCTGCAGAGATTCCAACAGGCTATAAGAGCCAGCACTGGAATCATGCTGATGAACCAAACAAAGTAATAATCGTAAGATTAAACATAATGTAGTCATACTTACACGAAGAGGAATTTGAAAACATGAGATGTACAATGGAAACCCATCGAGATGTAATGCAAAATGCAGATAAATACATTCATTACGAACTCTAAAAGGATATTTCCACTCCTTTTGGGGTTTCAAATTTATTTAGCATTATAATCACATAGGACGGTCTACTTCTGCAAAATGCTCTTTGCCAGGATCAAACATTATTCTGGCTGAATCACTTTTACTATAAACTGTGGGCTTGAGGTCTCTAACCTTACAAATAAACCTCTACAACCCAGTAATTGTTGCTTCTTAGCAATTTATTCATGTAATGGGCACATTAGCCTTCATCTTTTTTTATTGATTCTCGGTCATTTTCTTGCTAGCAGATTGTTCCAGGGGAAAGTAGAGATTATTAGTCTAAAATTGGGCTGTAGTGCAGTGATGTGATGAACTAACTTCTGCTCTTCCAATGGCTCCTCACTTAATGTCAGCTAAGTTAATCTGCAGCTCTTTCAGATGCTATCAGCTTCATGTACAGCGTATTTAATTAGCCTCTTGCTTTAAAAGCCAGCCCTGGGTGTCACTTAAAAGATGCATTTATTACATACTGGAGTGACAGAATGAATTACGAGCTCTCATTATGAAGCCAGTCTGGAGAAATTGGATTACTGAACTCTTAGTGATCAAATACCCTTTCACCCTTTTTTTTTTTGGCTCCAGCTTTCAAGGAAAAGCCCAAAGCGCCATCTTCTGCTCACTAACTGGAACCAAAAATAATGTGAGCACTCAGCTCCGTCCAAAGGGATTTGCTAAGAGGGAGATCTTTGGCATTTAGAACTAGCCTTCTGTTCATCAGTTAAATCACTTACCTATTCTGCTTCTGTGGGCATGCCAGGTGCCAGACAGAAACGCTGAAACTTCCTAACAGCTATCTAATGCACAATCAGGAGAGATTGATAAAACTGGCAGACTGACTCTGGGAAACACAGGATGCATCAGGAGTTAGAAGGCCTAAAGAGAAACACGAAATTAAAACTGACCTTCGTATGAATATACTATTCTCAAAGGATAAAGCAGCTGAAGGGTACTGCAATGTATTTGCATCCAGCAGAGCTATAGAAACTTTTTTATTCTTGCATATTACAAGTTTCAAATTGAGTATAGGGGAGGGAACTGTCAGAAATCCTTTGTACCCTTATAAAGGCCAGCTGACACAAATGACTATACATACTTTCACGCTCATCTTGGTGAACCTGGAACATGCTGCCATCGTGTGTGTGTGTGTGTGTGTGTGTGTGTGTGTGTGTGTGTGTTAACATATAGGCATTATGATTTTCAGAAAATAGGTTCTCTTTCAAATACAAAGATTATTATTAGAAAAGTAGGTTTGGATGGATAAAAAAGTTTGGATGCTTGGAAAGTTTGGAAGCATCCAAAAGTTTGGATGAATAATAATGGATAATGGAGCTGCTGATCCAGTTCTACAGAGGAATTATTGAGTCTGTCATCTGCACCTCTATAACTGTCTGGTTTGGTTCTGCAACTCAACAAGACAAACAGACTTAAGAGGATAATTAGAACTGCAGAAAAAACAATGGCTACCAACCTGCCTTCCATTGAGGACCTGTATACTGCATGAGTCAAAAAAGGGGCTGTGAAAATATTTACAGACCCCTCACATCCTGGACATAAACTGTTTCAACTCCTACCCTCAAAATGATGCTATAGAGCACTGCACACCAGAACAACTAGACAAGAACAGTTTTTTCCCGAACACCATCGCTCTGCTAAACAAATAATTCGCGCAACACTGACAAACTATTTACTAAGTCTGCACTACTATTAATCTTCTCATCTTCACATCGTTCCCATCACCCATCTCCTTCCACTTATGACTGTAACTTTGTTGCTTGTATCCTTACGATTTATATTGATATTGTTTCCTGATTGCTTATTTGTACCCTATGATTATCATTAAGTGTTGTACCTTATGATTCTTGATGAACGTATCTTTTCTTTTATGTACACTGAGAGCATATGCATCAAGACAAATTCCTTGTGTGTCCAATCACACTTGGCCAATAAAAAATTCTATTCTGTTCTGTTCTGTTCTGTTCTGTTCTGTTCTATTCTATTCTATTCTATTCTATTCTATTCTATTCTATTCTATTCTATTCTATTCTATTCTATTCTATTCTATTCTATTCTATTCTATTCTATTCATCTGAACCAAAGCTACCTCACACAAAGCTGTTATGAAATTAAAATGGGATAATCCATGAACTTTTTATTCCATTTGTATCCCAGCTTTCCTCCACGGATATCAAACAAATACATATGTAATCATTTCACTGTATTCATTTGCTTAAGATCTTCTGTTTAACTCAAAATTATGTATAACAATATATCACCTGAAGTTCTTGAAGGAAAACCAAATACATACAATGCAAATATGATTATTGACATTGCTTTGTAATAGACAGAAAGTCCGAGCACAGAAAAGTCTTCTGTTTTATTTCCCCTGCAGATGAATATAGCAAGGGGAGTGGGAGTTGGGGGCTGAAGTATTAACTCTGTGCATGTGTATATTCCTGAGAACAGGAATCTAATCTAATCTTTGATGGGCTGACATCAGCCAAGATCTGTTTCTACAGTTGGTACTTCTTGTCTTTGAGAAAATAACACAATATTGTAGAGATAAACGTACTAAGCCAAACTACCTCCTACGGTAGTTTTCTAGTTGAATTAAAAATTTCAAAATATATAACTGTGAAAATAGAACATCTTTCTTCAGGGTTCCTTCATGTTTCAGTCAGAAGTCAGATTTGGAAGAGCCATTTACAGAAATTCAACCGAAGCATTTTTGACATACAGCAATGGCTGTCCAGTCTCTGCTTGAACTAGCAAAGGAGAATACACAAGTTCCTTAAGCAATTGTTTCCATTTTTCCTAATATTCAGAATCAACATTGCTATTGTGTAAGATAATTATTCCATGCCTTGCACTCTGGGATAATAGAGAACAAGTCTTGATGCAGGATCCAATCTGGGTCGGTCACCAGGACCACTGGTTTTGCCTTCTGAGCTTTCAGACTTGTACTGGAGCCCATCTTCAGGGAACTTCTCTCTAGCAGAGTGTCTACACACTGTGCTAGAGAGAAATTTCCTGAAGATGGGCTCCAGTACGAGTCTGAAAGCTCAGAAGACGAAATTTGTTAGTCCTGGTGACTAACCCAGATTGGATCCTGTAACATTATCCTGGGACACGCCTTTATTTGTGAAACAAGTCTTGATTTCTGTATTGACCATCATACCAGCAGGATGATGGACAAAAATATCTCCGGGAGTAGCTGTTCCACAATATAGGTGCCATCCCTGAAAAGTTCTGCCTCTGAGACCCCCATTCCCTTACCTTTTTGTGAATTGTGAACAATTAAGTGTCCTTCTTTGGGAACTGCATAGAAAACATTCTAGTATGTGAAAACAAATTTGTAAGCCCAAGAGAACCAAAAACTTAGGACTTTACAAGATGATACCTGGACTTTGAACAAACCCAGAAAACTATTGAATTGGGTAGGCCAAAAATTTTGGAACTTTTTTTTTGCTTGAGGGTGGGAGAGATAAAGGGAGCAAAACAATTGTTCTAAGAGTCATAAGATGTGATATATTTATTTTGCCCTTTTGCTTTGCATCCAAAAGAAGCAACAAATCATGCTGCTGAAAATCAGAAATGCTTGCTGCTTTATCTCCAAGCATTTGATGTAGGATTACTCTGAGGTTTCAAGAGACCCGGGGGTGGGGGGACGGCACAGTGGGGACTCTAGTTGTTTTTATGGGCTGCAGGTCATATCATCAAGTACACAGAATACACAAGTACCAACAGACATGGCTCAGTTCTCAGATTGATATCAGTTCAGGAGATGGTCTTCTCCAAGCTCCTAATGCCCACCAGTTTGATAGTTCATAGAAAAACAGTAAAAAAAAAAAAAAAGAAAAGAAAAAGAGGAAGGTCTTGCCCTGATATATGTTGATACTGGCAATTAGTTCAGTTGCTGGCATTGTTACCCTGCCCCTCTTTCCTCTCAATACACTTTGAGAGAGAAATGTATGCTTGGAAAAGAAATTCCCCTTGGGTTCAGGCAGAGACCAAAAGCTTGACACTGGGAAAGGATGGGATGATAAACAAATCAGAGGTAAATGAAATGTAGACAATACCACCAATAAAAATTACATTAACTGCACTCATTGAAAAGAAAAAAGAAAACTGAGACTAATGGCAATGAAATAGAGGCATCCCATCAGTGGCAAACATAAATATAAGCAGGAAGCCGGGACTGGCATTAAATGAGGAGGTAGATGATGGTTCAAAAAGATTCTCCTCCAGTGTCTTAATGGCCAAGCAGAAAGGAGGTGCTTATCTGTGGCAAGTAGAGAAATCCTCCATAAGTTGCTGCTGAATTATGAGTCTATGGAAAAGGAGAACGTCTGAAATTATTGGAAGCCATAATATTAGCTGTATTTATTCAATTTATCAGTTCAATTATTTCCATTCAACTTAATCGAATGCTTGGAAAAGATAATTTAGGCAGAGATCAAATGCCTGGCTCTGGGAAAGGATGAGATGGTAAACAAATCAGTGATATTAAATTGAATTCAGATGGCCTATGATTAAATGAAATCATACGTACCTTTCCTTTTAATTCTCCCATTTCTTCATCTAGTCCTTCAAAATTTTAAATTCAAATTTATATATATTTATATATATAATTTATATATATATATAATATATATATTAGTTATTTATTTATAAGAATTTTCTGTAACTACGGAAGTAGAGTCACGGGGGCTTCCCGGGGCTCAGAAAGATGGGGATGATTTTTTTTCTTTTACAGATACAGTAATAACGTCGCCACGCACCTTTCCACCCAGCCAATAACCCTGGTATCCGGCTAGCGTTTACAGGAAGGACATGCGCATTCCCCCAATAGATACGATCCCCCCACACCCTCCCCAAAAAAACAAAGCACCCCAGAAAGGGTGCCAGATCTCGCAGCCCTTCGCACGGGAAAAAGGCCGAAGGGGAGAGCGGTTCTTGGTCCCTTGTATGCCACCTCCTTTCCTCGAGCCTGTCATCTCTCAGCCAATGAAGACTCCGGATTTCGGTCCCCTCCGTCGCTATTCGTCAGCCAGCGCAAAAAAAAAAAAAAAAGGAGAGGGACGAATCCTCCAATAGCCTCCCGAGTTATGCGCGGCGCGCGCGCTCCGAGGCCCCCGAGTTTGCCAGACCCGAGCTGGGGGAGGCTGGGAAGATGGCGGCGGGAGCGTCTGTTTCGGGGCCGACGGCGGCAGCAGGGGCCGACTTCGCTTGTGCGGATTTCTCCGACTTGCGGGAGATCAAGAAGCAGCTGCTGGATGTGGCGGAACGGAGCCGGGAACGCGGCCTTCAGCATAGTGGGAAATGGTACGGGGACGCCGAGGGGGAAGGACGCCCTTTTGTAGGCTGCTCTTCCGAGGTGGCGGCGGTGGCGGTGAGGAGGCGGGAGGGTTTGCGTTGGCGAGAAGGGAAGTGAGGAGGCTCGCTGCGCTTTTGCCTCTTGCGGGCGCTTGCTTGGAGAAGGTCGATCTGTGCGGTTGCTAAGAGCCGAAAACGACTTGATGACGCTCAGGCGATCCAAATCGATGCAGGCAGTTCCTTAAGCCTCAGAAGTAACGGAACTGCCCGATATGAACTCTTTAAGGGGCCTGGTGGCGTTTGGGTGTGGGAGGAAACAAATTTAGTTTGTTTCGCTATAAACAAAACAAGTTTATAGCGGATAGCAATAGCACTTAGTTCTGCAACCCAACAAGACAGACATCCACAGACTTCAGAGGATAATTAGAACTGCAGAAAAAACAGTTGCTACCAACCTGCTTTCCATTGAGGACCTGTATACTACACGAGTCAAAAAGAGGGCTGTGAAAATATTTACAGACCCCTCGCATCCTGGACATAAACTGTTTCAACTCCTACCCTCAAAATGACGCTATAGAGCACTGCACACCAGAACAACTAGACACAAAAACATTTTTTTCCCGAACGCCATCACTCTGCTAAACAAATAATTCCCTCAACACTGTCAAACTAGTTGCCAAGTCTGCATTACTATTAATCTTCTCATCGTTCCCATCACCCATCTCCTCCCACTTATGACTGTATGACTGTAACCTGGTTGCTGGTATCCTTACGATTTATATTGACTATTTCCCTATGACTACCATTAAGTGTTGTACCTTATGATTCTTGACGAATGTATCTTTTCTTTTATGTACACCGAGAGCGTATGCACCAAGACAAATTCCTTGTGTGTCCAATCACACTTGGCCAATAAAGAATTCTATTCTATTATGTTCTCTTCTTACACTTATATACCACTTGATAGTGCTTTACAGTCCTCTCTAAGCGGTTTACAGAGTCAGCCTATTGCCCCCCCCCCACATATTGCATTTTAGCAAGCAGCCTATAGATGTGCAACTTTAAGGTAGCAGTTGCAGCTGGGAGGGCTTCC